TTGGTATACCGGTAGTACAGTAATAAAGATACAGCTGTGTAACTTTAATGACTTCGCTATATTAACATGTTATCATGGATATGCGTCGAGCGCGAGCGTAGTGGTGTTGGTGGGGGGAGAGTGGGGGGTGGGGGCTCTAATAGCAAAAGCAGTTGCCGCGAGATAGCGCGTGCAAGTGTCATCAATAATCAAAGATGACATCGCCCTTCGTGCGTGATAACCTCACTCCATTGAGTTGCTGAAATCCTACCGGCTAAAATCCAAGTATATTCAGGCAGGCGAGAATTTCGCTCAGCTGTGAGTTAACACATCTACATCTGCATTGCAGGTTGCCAGGCAATAATTATGATTAGAATAGTGCCAGTTCACGCCCATGCATGCGTATTGGGCTGCCCCCATGTTTTTGCCTACTCACCCGAGCATTCAGGGTGCTATTACAGTGTGCTAATACAAGGTGCTACTCAGGGTGCTAATACAGACTGCTTTAGAAAATAATATGATTTAAGGAGCGTAAACCTTGTTCAACAAACATTTGCCTTTGCAATTGAACTGTGCAACTGTAGCCTCACATCCACAATAGCAAAAGCAGTTCAGTCCTTTGTTAACAGTCAACAAATCCATGTTTAACCCTCCTCTTGGAGGTCAAAAGGTTATCAGACACTTACTCTTCGCACATCAGCGGAAAGTACATTTCATGGTCCTTTCAATAAATTGATAGAAATGGTAGGTCAGCGCTGAAACAAAAAGGTTTTGCACTCGGTCCGTTAGACCATGTCCTCAGAAAATGTCTGATATCTGACCTTTCCCCCCCTGCCCTTTGACCCGTGATCTCCAATTTCGCACTGGTGATGGGTTTCCTCCCCATCACACTATACATCAAATATTAAGAGCGTAGGTCAAGCCGTTGAGATTTATGCCGCAATTCCGTATTTCCTCCTATATCTTAAGTTAAGGGGGAAATATTCCCCCTCCGTTTACACATCTTGACCTTTGACCCTCAATTGTGATTTAAAATGGAATACGTTATTGAATGTATTTCTATGTATAAAAACGTTACAGAAGTTAGAAAATTTGACTTCAATTGTCCTTTAAAATATTCCCCCTCCATTGACACATCTTGACCTTTGACCCTCAAATTCAAAATCCCGATTGTCCTTTTCGTGCAATTTGGCACTCACACTTTCCCACCAGCTCTATTTTCCCATGAGTTTGTGTATAATAGTGTACATGTGGTGAGATTGTGTGTTGCAGTAGAGCATTTGAACAGCATTTGCATAAAATTATTAGGCGATAGATTACATATATAGAGAGTACACAACCATGATTAAGACTGGTAGTAAAGCTCATAGGGTCTATGTCCCCCAGGGTACTGCCGGAACGTACCCTGGTAACGGTCCGGTATACTGGAGCGTACCCTGGTAACTATCTAGCTGATATGGTTAGGGTTAGGGTTAGGGTTAGGGTTAGGGTTAGGGTTAGGGAGTAGGCGTAGGCGACTCCCTAGACTCGTTAGTGGAGTAGGCGAAGTACGGTCCGGCATATTATTATTAGATAGTACCAGGGTACGTTCTGGTATACCGGACCGTACCCAGGGTACGTTCCGGCAGTACCCTGGGGAACATAGACCCTCTCAGCGGTAGTAAACACAATTTTTGTGTTGATGTGTTCAGACGTGGATATTTGTTTGAGCATCGGACACCTGTTCGTATGCGCTATTCGTCCGAGCAGTTGTTGCGCATGCGCTGTTCATGTTGTATTACATAAATGTAATATAATGCTAGTCTAGGGTGGCCCCTACTCCCTAAACATGCCTACTCTCTAACCCTAACCCTAATCCTAACCACAGCCCTAAACCTAACACTAACTATAAACCGACTAGGTTCTCTTATTATACGCTTGGTTTCATATATATACGCGAGTGATAGTACCAAACACTATCTATGGTGTATAACCACACACGCAACGCATGTATGCAGAGGCGTCACAGCCGTAGGGCTGCCGTAGCAAAACGCTACGGGCCTCCAGCATAAAGGGCATAAAATAATCAAAAATCTAAAGGGTAAATAGCATTTTAGAGCGTCTAGATTTAAAAATTAAAAATCCCTTCACATTTCCTACCTACGCTTACGCCACTCATGCCGTGCGCCTGCGGCATGCAACACGAACAGCGCATGCGCAACAACTGCTCAAACGAATAGCGCATACGAACAGGTGTCCGATGCTCAGACGAATATCCGCGTCGTATGTGTTTATTCATCATCATTTATTATTGGAACAGCCGAAGTGTCTGGGCCTATGTACCTAGAAGTCGCTACAATAGACAGAAGTACATGGCTGTACTTTCTCCAAACGTCGACAGATTACATGGGCATTGGCATTGCTAGCCGGTACATTTATACCTCGAATTGCCAATGCAATCGATTGCTGTTTTAGTTTTAGTTTTACTTTTTTTACGTTTTATTACTTTAACTTTTAGTTACAAGTCAACAGCCAACTCACAATTACATGGCTTCGTAGTAATATAACGCCTTGCGTACGATGGGCTCTCTAGATCTATACATCCGTTTGTTTGTTTTTGTTTTTTTAACAGGATGGAGTAAAATTAGTCATTATCAACACAACAGAACGTCGAACCTTGCATAGAAAACCACAGGCACTTGGGCCGTTTCAATCCGATTGGGAATCGCCCATTTCTCCCTAAAATTACCACATTCGCATACTTAATTATGAAGGTTATTGGTGTCTTACCTGGCGTTTCAGTATTTTTCTCACTGTCTACCGTCGGGACCTCCGCCGGTAACGGGTCAGAATACCGCCTCGTCCGTATGTAAAGATTTAATTTGGGAGGAAAATACTTTCTTTCCTGCTTCGCGGCGGCCATGACGCAAACTTCCTCTCAGGTATGTATCGCCATCTACTGGGCAATATCGGTTACAATACAAATTAGCGAATGACCATGCACCATGGAATGTCCAAATGGTAAACAAAGCCAGTCCATTTGTGTGAAGCATCTCTAATAAGCGTTTCTGTTATGTATAGCCTCCTTGCCGTGTATGAGTAAAAGTCACGGTTTAAGTCGAATGCGATGGCATCTTTGCTGGAAAAGCTATGCACGAAAAGTGACATTGACAACGCTATAAAATCGACCGAAGAATTGGTCCTGGTGCTCCGGTTTGGTAGGGAATCTGATCTCGTGTGCATGGAGCTTGATGAAATTGTAAGCTGCTAATAATCAGGGCTAGTACTACTACTCATAATCAAAATCATATAGTCATCAATAGATTAGATATATCAATTATCATTATCATGGTCAGGTGAATATTTGCATTTAGCCATATTCGTATCTGTCATTCCAATGTCCTGTCCTGCCATTCCAACGTCAATTCCTGTGTCCTCGCTCATACTCATAGTCATAGGGTCTATATGTCCCCCAGGGTACAGCCGGAACGTACCCTGGTAACTATCTGATATGAATAAGTTCATTCG